TCTCTCTCTCTCTCTCTCTCTCTCTCTCTCTCTCTCTCATAGAAACTAGCATTGAGATTAAAGACACTTTATTTATGCGGACTAAATAAAGGCGTTATTCTTTGTTTATCCAATTTCACATCAAAGATTTTAATCGCCAAAAAAAAATAATTATCTTCATCACTAATCATACTCATTCATAAGAATCAACTTAAAAATATATATTTTCAATTGCATATTATATCACAATTTTCCTTCATAATATATGTCATAGTTTGCCATGTATCAAATTGGAGACAAGTTATAAATCAAATTTACAAATTCATATTCACATCAAATCCGTCTAGTTTTACTAATCTTAAAATGTAAAATTCTCTTATTTTTGTTGTCCAATTTTATGCTATAATTTTAAAAATTTGAATTATATTAATTTTCTTATACTAAAATAAATCTTTATTCTCTACTCTATAATCTCTTTTTAGTTTATGTAACACTTTAAGCTCTCTTTTCTAAATTAATAGAAAAATAAATCAATTCTTAACAAAATTTTACTAATATAAATTCGTTTAATGCCCGTTGTTTTAGGTAAAAGCTAGTAAAACATATCTTTCATATGTATCTATCATTTCAAATCCTATAAAAGTTGACACTGTCTAAATCCCACAAACAAGGAGGTGAATCTAATTTTGACCATACATAGAAACAAAACAAACAATTCAAATCCTCAAAAGATCTTCCAAAAGTTACAAAATAAAATAAAATAAATAAATAAACAAATAATACTTCATAATAGCTATCTATGATAAATCTGAGATTTGAATTTAGCAATTTTATATAAAATTAGTGTTTTTTTTTATTTTTTAGAAAAGGACAATATAAAAACATCATCCTCAAAAAATAAATAAATGAGATAGTGATATCTTTATTTCTGAGGTAGGAGTTGTTTTGAGCAACAAGGCATGATTGTATATCTATCTATATTAATATCTATCTCTATCTCTATTTCTATGTTTTTGTTGACTGTCATGTCCCATTTGGCATGTGAATGGTTCACGTGGCCAACCTACACACATCAACTTCTTAACCTAATAATTATTATAATATTTATTATACTCTATAAAAAAATCTATAATATTTTTTCTAATATTTTTTTTCAATCATGTAGGTTTAAATTTGTTTATTCTATAGCACACCTTGTGAGTATTCAGATGTGAAGTTACTTTCTCCCATCTTAAATATAGATAAAAACATTTATATAATTGTATCAAATTTGACCAAATACATGTACAGTTTTATTTTTATTAATAGCAAAGAAATTGTATCAATTATTAGATATTCTTTAAGCTAATGCATCATCATATCCAACATCAAGGATTGGACAAATTAATAGTATAATAAAGGTTTGACCTAATAGACAAACATATACAATACTAGGATTGGACAAATAAAGTGTAATAAAAGATGTCATATGAACTTTGTTCAACAATGCTATGCGCCTTAATTTATATGGTGAAACTATGATCTTAATCTACTCTGGGTTTATTTGCCAACTTTTGCATGAACATTTTTTATTAATCAAACTTTATTTACCTAACATTCAAATTACTCTAAAGTATATGGCCTTTTACCATTGAGAGACCACCCTAAAAAGTGAAAATATTTGCTCCTATGTTTGTTTTTTTTAGCATATACTAATTAAAGACAAGACCCGTGCATTCGCACGGATAACATAAAATCAATATAAATATTAAATAAATATTATATAATTATAATTAAAAAATATATATACATATAAAAATATATATGAAACAAGAAAAAAATATTTTAATAATGATTATCATAAAAATATTAATTTAATTTATCAAGTTTAAGTAATTGTGAGGATATACATAAAAATTATATTAAAAAAAAATATGAATATATAATATAGTATACTTTATACACATATAAAATTAGTTATCTACCTATGCATTCACATGAGTCGTTTAATGCGGTTATAAATAATAATTTAATATAATATAATGATGATTAAGAAATGTATATAAAAGATATATAAATTAAGTAATATTGATCGGTTGAAAATGTATATTTTAATAGAAAAATAAAGAAAATAATTAAGTAATCATCTATCCGTGTGTTCGCATCGATCACGCAAAGTCGATATAAATATTAAATGAATATTATACAGTTATAGATAAGAAATGTTGATTTTTACCATTTATAAAAATATTTATAATTTATTTCTGTTTATAAAAATAATTGTATCAAGAATTAACTTTTATCGTTTATAAAAATATTTATAATTGATTTCTTTTTATAAAAATATTTATATCAACATTTGAATTTTTTCTATTTAAAAAAATATTTATAAATTATTCTCGTTTATAATAATAATTAAAATATATATATAAAAATATATAAATTAATTATTTTAAAAAAAATATAAAAAAATTATACTTAAAGATTGAATTAACTTTTTTTTTTGAACCAAAAACTAATATATTAATTCAAAAGGGATCAATACAATCAAGGCAACCTCGTCAGGTTCAGCCATCTAAATCTACAAAAAAACTAGCACATTAGTCTAGCAATATTAGGCCTAATCTTCCTATTTCCCCAGCATCTATACACTATACAATCAATAATTCTTTATACCGTATTGTTGTTAAAAGTAATGTTATCAAAAGTAGAAGCATTCCTAAGCAGCCAAGTTTCATGAATTGTTTCTGTAAATGCCGTTTTGAGCACTGTTGCCCGCCAACCCTTACCTTTAGTACTAGCCAGAATCCACTTCAACTCATCCTCCCAGAGAAGAGGTTTGTGGCTTACCCCCAACCAATTTAAAGTTGCCATCCATACAGTAATAGTTTTGGAACAGCTAAAGAAAAGATGGTTCGCACTTTCTTCCTCCTTCTCACACAAACTACACAAGCTATCTTGAACTATACCAAACCTCACCAATTTATCCTTGGTTGGGAGCTTCCCATGACACAACAACTCTGCTGTAAACTTGGCTTTCGGTCTAGCGTGGTTATGTAGAAGGAGCTTACTCCAAGTACTTCTACTCAAGTCATCAATAAACGCGTTATAAACAGTTTTCATTGAAAATTTCTGATGGAGAAGCATTTGATCCCAAAGGTGTTGGATTTGAGTGACCTTGAATTAACTTTTATAGAAGTGGTCAGCAAAAAATTTCGTTCTAAGTGAAAAACAAATTTGAAAAATCAAAATATAATAAATTAATTAATTAAATTTTAAATGTATTTAGTAAAATTAAATAGGAGTATTGTTAATCAAATAATAATTAAAACTATAGTATAAACGTCTAAATTGCATATAAGTAAAAGTATATTTTTTATGAAATGACAACTAAAAAGAGTTTAAGAAATATTTATTGATACATGAAAATAGTTTTAAACAATTGTGAAACTATAGTATCTAATATTAAATTTGTGAAACTATCAATCTATATTTAGAAATTAAATGATATCTAATATTTTTATGTGTATATAAAAATATAGTATCTAATATTAATAAAAATATATTAATTTTTTTATTTCTTACAATATAAAAACTTTTAAAAAATTTAAGATGAAAAGAAAACTTTATATAACAACAAAGAAAAATCAAATTTTGAATTATTTTAATAAAAATACACCGAGTGACTTTGACAATATTTTTTTCAGTAATATAAAATTATTAGACGTGAAATGATTAAAGAAATAATATATTATTCTAATAATTAAGAAAAAAAGAGATTATTACTAATTTATTTGAAAAATTATTTTGAATAGAAGAAAGGCCATGGAAGAAAAATAGAAGAAATAATTAATAAGGATAAATGAAATTTAGATGAATAAAATGAATGAGGACTCCAAAAAATTTTAATATATTTTTAATGCAACAATTGCATTCAATAGTAAAAGAATCAATAGGTATTGCTATTAAAATTAATTATTTAAAATATAATAATTACTATTTGGATATAAAATTAGTTCTCTAAACATATTTATTAGAAGTTAAAAGTAATTATAATAGTAGTTAACTTTATTATATTAAAAATAGATTTAAAATTACTTTAAATTTTTACATCTATAAAAAATAAACTTAGTTTTGTAACTTCTTCCAAATCAGATTATCTTTGTATAAGAATGCGAGAAATACCTTCTGGTTAAAAAACACACACTAAGTTTATTCGAGATACAAAATAGAAACGACATATAAAATAAAAAATGTAGTATTAAAGCATGTGTGTGCATTGTTTTGTGTGCAATTCGTAGAATCAAATGTAGTACTAGTATTAACTACTTTAACAAGACTGAGTTATCTCAAAGATACCAAGAAGATATTTGGATAGGAAGGGAAAAACAAAAGTACAAATTGGCATGTCCACACATGACTGATAAAAGGAAACGTTATAAATAGAAAAATCTATACATTGCTTAATTATTAAAAACATACAAGGATTGTGTGGCCCTTACATTTTTTTCAATCACAATTTTGGAATCTTGAAGTCTTTTGGATTTTATTGTTTTTAAACTTTTGAATAGTCCTACTTCATTCAATCTTTGTCTGTTAGAGAGAATTGATACATTGGGATGGCAAGTTTCTTTTATATTCAAGTCCTGGTTTTCATGTTTTCTTCAAATAATAATCACGGAAAACTCATTGAGAAAAAATTGAAGTTCCATTTACTTTTTTATGCTTATTTAAGAAGGTTTCTTGACATCCTTTCTTAATTTTTTTTCTATCAAAGTGTCTAAGATTTTTAATTGCAATCGCATTGCGATATTTGATATGATAAAATAATATTGTCAAATATGAATACGGTTGATGTGACCCAATTGCAATTACAATGTGATTGTGGAGATATTGAAAATTTTAATATGACACACAAATACAACTTATGTATTCTAGCCAAATTATAGTTGATTTTTTTTTTGGTCATACGAGGAGAGTTTTAGAATTATTCACATTTGATAAAAGAGCAACTACACAAGTGAGAAAGATATTATACTTTTACTCAAAACTTCAAGACATAAGATTTATGTGTCAATTCACTTATAAATTGTTCAATTTTCACTTTTTAAACCTGTATATGACTTTCAATTCATATGTGTCATACAACAATCTTCTCATCAAATGTGAGTCTATCAACTTATATGTTTCTCTTCAAGTAGAAACTCTTTCATCCACATCTACTCACAAATCCTCCAACATATGCAATATGTGGTCTTGTGAAGATCATTACTAAAATAAGACTACCCACAATTGAAGAATAAGACACCTTGTTTATTTCTTTTTTTATTGGTCATTGTTTGACCATTGTGTCTTATTAAGTTTTAAATGATCAAGTACTGGAGCATGCATATGTTTGACATCATGTATGTTGATCTCTCAAGAATTTTTTTGATGTAGTCTTTTTATAACATCCACTAACATTCTTTTAGAATGATCTCTAATAACCTACATTCTAAGAATCTTCTTCACTACATCCAAATCTCTAACATTCTTTTAGAATGATCTCTAATAACCTACATTCTAAGAATCTTCTTCACTACACCCAAATCTTTCGTAGAAAAATATTTCTTAAAAATTTCTTGAGTTCATATATGTTTTTCTTTTATTTTTTCAATAATAAGCATATAATCAACATACAACAAAAGTATGATGGGCTAACCATTTTCATATTTTGTTCCTAAACACACTGTGCTTAGTTGTCGTCTTTGTGACCTAATGTTAGGTCAGGAAGAGATCAAACTTCTTGTACTATTTCCTTGGAGCTTGTTTTAGATTATGGAGACTTTCCTATAAACAAAAAATAAGGTTATCTTTTTTTGGTTCAAGGAACCTTCTGGTTATAAATTTTATCATCTAGGTATCTATGTAAGAACGATGTATTAACATCAAGTTGCTTAATGTCATCTTCATCACTGGTGTGAAGACTTCTTCAAAATATATGCCTTTTTCTGATGGCATCCCTTCACAACCATCCTTGTTTTGTATTTGAGGCTCAAATTTTTCTCTTTGGGCTTTAGTTTCAACACCTACTTGTTTATCGATGCCTTTCTTTTAGTAACTTTACCAAGTCATGTGTTGTTAGCGTGAAAACACATCATATTTCTGACTAGATTCGCATGCTAATTAGTTTCATTTCTTGCTTTTATCGTATTTTTTTGTTGTTTTATATGTATGTTTCAGGTATTATGTTGCCCACGAAGAAATGAGCTTCGTAATTGAAATCAGACAATAAAAACCAGTAAAAATGCAGAAAATCAATGTTTCTGTTATGTGGCGGTCGCCACCAGCAGCATGACACTTGCCATGGTTGCTTGCCACATAATTTAATGAAGTTAAGCCCATGGCGGTCACCATGCACCTGATATGCAGAAACATGGAAAACAAAATGGAATTGCTTCTTGGCCACTCCCCTAGATTTTCTCGTGCACTCTTTACACGATCATAAACCTCTCTCAGACCTGTAACACTATATAAGGCTAGTTTACTTATTTTTAGGCATCCAAGTTTGTGCGCGAAAGCGCTATTCATAGTTTTAGGCAGAAATTACTTTGTAAAAGTGGCAGTTTCTCACATCAAGGAACTACCACACTATTAGTACTAGGACTTTTGTGTACGCTTGGATCAACAATCTTTCCATCATTAATAGAAGTTAATTCCAGTTTCATTTCAATTCAAGTTTCTTTATTTCTCGCATTTGCAGGTTCTTATTTATCGCTTATTATTATTGTTATTCCATTTTATAATTGTCAAGCATGTTGTTCTTAATGATGTTTATCATGTTTATTGTGTTTGAAATTAATTCCATGTCTATATAAACTGTTTAGAGTATGGTATGTGAGGACCGTCATTTCCAATGGGACTCGGTAATAATGTTGGCTTAATATTTAATTTGAAATTTTTGTTTTGGTCTTTGTTTTTAAACTTAATTTAATTAGCTTTGTCACGAGAGTGAGAAGTTACTTAACACGATTTTGTCACGAGAGTGAGAAATTAACTAAGGTTAGAGTCGGCACTGCGAGAGCGTGGGAGTCGAACCAGATAGTAAGAACGAGGCATCTATTCCTAAAGAGAGCGAGAGCGCTTTATGCATCGATTAGAACTTGTTAAACTTTCAAAATGCGTTCCTTGATTAGAATGGGCGAGCGAGAGAAAAATCCCATGGTTAAGGAACGTGACTTTATTCAAAACCACGAGAGTCTAAGATATTGTCTTTAAATTGATTTTTTTCTACTAAACACATTTTGAACATTAGTATAAGCCAACAAGTTACAGAGTCCCCTAAGTACACGGGATCCACATATCGGCCTCTCTTTTATTATATTTACCTTAAATATTTATTTTATTTCAGTTTTAGTTATTAGTATCATTTTTATCTAATACTCATTAGCCTTAGCTTTACAAAACGATAATAGAATACAGAAGGTTGATATTGGTCTCTGTGGGTTCAAAAATATTTTATATTACTTCGATATTTCTGTGCACTTACGGACGCATCAAGTTTTTGGCGTTGTTGTCGGGGACCAACAGTCAATATTATTTCTGTTGTTGCACCGTATAGACTAAGGCACTCTTACCTAAATAACTATGTATCGCCTAAATTTTTTCTACAACTCCCACTCTCAGTATTTCGAGGAATAACAAGAATCCCATAAACCCGACCTCGAAATACTAATGGAGAACTTCAATGTGTCACTAACTCATTCTCACCCAAATTACCTCTGCAACTGCCAATCCAAATACTTTGAGGAGTCGCAAGAATCCCATAATTTCAATCTCGAAACATTAATGGAAGATTTCAATGTAACACTAACTTATCTCTATAATCACCATGCCTAATACTTTGAGGAGTCACAAGAATCCCATGATTCCACCCTCAACACATTAATGGAGGATCTCAATGCGACTCTAACTCGCTCTAGGCTATAATATTTGATGATAAAGCACTTTTTGGAGACACAAAATGTGATGCTAACACACTTTAAGGAACCGCGGGAATCCCATCCTTTCAACCTCGAAATATCAACAGAGGATTTCAGTGTGACGCTAACTCACTCTGGGCTAGAATCTATGATAGAGCACTT